AAGTCATCACCGAAGAGAAAGAGAGTTGGAAAGTTGTGAGTAAGTATGCAGTGGTTCGAGTATGCAGTGGTTCGAGTATGCAGTGGTTCGAGTATGCAGTGGTTCGAATATGCAGTGGTTCGAATATGCAGTGGTTCGAGTATGCAGTGGTTCGAGTATGCAGTGGTTCGAGTATGCAGTGGTTCGAATATGCAGTGGTTCGAATATGCAGTGGTTCGAGTATGCAGTGGTTCGAGTATGCAGTGGTTCGAATATGCAGTGGCTCTATTATGCAGTGGTTCGAGTATGCAGTGGTTCGAGTATGCAGTGGTTCGAGTATGCAGTGGTTCCAGTATGCAGTGGTTCGAGTATGCAGTGGTTCGAGTATGCAGTAGTTCGAGTATGCAGTGGTTCCAGTATGCAGTGGTTCACAGGGACAATGCTCCTTGCCCCAGCACAACATGACACCAACCGGATGTGGCTACGAACTGCTTGCAACCTCAACCCAGCTTACAAGTCACTGCACACTTTCTGTTCTTCGTCCGTTTAGTAAGTTGTTCTGTTGTTGTGTGTGTCTGTTCAGTTAGCTGTTTTCTGTTCGTTCAGTGAGTTATTACTCTAGTTGACAGCTGAGTGACATGTACTGTATGTGATAGCTAGGTGACATCTAGACAGAGATAACAAAAATGTACAAGTTACTCACTTTTCGAGTTTGTGAATGAGGCTGGCGACAACGTGATGCATGTGTGGTGAAGTAGTCGCAGGCTTAACCAATCAACAGTTGAGTTGACTCCTTGGCGACCAATCAGAAGTCTTGGTAAAATTATTCCCTTTCTATTCATTCGATTGACGTGATATCGTTGACGCCTGACACCTGAAAGTGGATTTTCTCGAGAAACATCACAACAAAATCTTAATTAAACTCAATCAGCAGTATCAGCCAAGAACGTGTCTAAAGTTTCAGCATGGATGGCGAACGCTGACATCAGATACCCTGTTACAAATGTTTTGTTTTTTTCGGAGGAGGTGGGGGGGGAGGGGAGTGGGGAGTTTCAGTTAAATTTTGCCAATATAATACTCCAATTTTTCAGAAAGAAGTGCTCGTGTTGGTGTGTGTAAAACTGGACAAACTATGTAATACGGTCATAAACCATTACACCAATACCGTCAATGTACTGTGCGTATGTAAATAAAAACTGGGCTAGATTTAACAGGTTTTTGTGTGTAGGAAACATAACCTCACACGAGCCAAGTTTTTACCCAGACATATTCCAGGTGTGTTGCCAGACGTCACTCTCACCTCTCATTCATTCACCTGACTGGGAAGAACACCTCACCTGAATAAACATCCATCAGACATCTCAACGATAACCATATGACTGACTGAACGAACGTATAGCTTTAGACATCACGTGAAGAGGCTTACCTGAAGATCAGTAACCCCAGCTTTTTTTCGTCTGTTTAAACAACCTAACGTAGGAGATGGTGTTAGGTTAGCGTGGGGGGTGTTCAGTCATCAGGTGAATTAAGCTGGGGTGCCTATTCTCCAGGTGATGCCGTGGAGACTTGTAGAATCTGAAAGCCAAGAGCACAGTAACTTACATAGATCGTGTTGTTAGATGTTTATAATGACGTATACAAAATTTTGTTGGTGGTTTGTGGTGGATTTTTGTCACCTGATAATTAAAGACAGGTATATGTGTATTACCAAGTCTTCGTTATTGATGGTGTGTTACCCATATTCTCTCTCTCTCTCTCTCTCTCTCTCTCTCTCTCACAACCAACTCAAGACAATATCAACACCTCTGCGTATAAATGTGTTCGTGTTGTATCATAAAGGATAACTACAGTATTTCAACATCAGATATTTTCATACCTATGTCGCACATTACTCGGATTCATTCATTTATCAGTAAGCAGTTCCTGAAGATAACATTACACATACACACTACACATTCTACAATACGTACACTAAGTCCATTACACTAACATCTACAGTAACAATTACGCTTCACATTCTACACCACACACACACTACACATTTTACACTAAGACACACTACATCCATTACACAATCTACAGTACATGACCTTCACTACCACTTCTCTGAGCTGATCGAGTTTCTGCCAACGTCTGCTGCCCGACACTCATCTAGAATACCTGAATAGCCTGATGAACACACACATACACACACGTAATGGAAGGTCGTATTAACCCTCAAACATAACTTAATCCAAAACACGAAAACAAATTCCTAAATTGGCATCAGGGTTATAGTAAGGCTCAGCACTCGAGGCGTCTTCACTTAGCACCAGCGAGGAGACAAAATGAATGAGTGAAATATTTGTGTCTCAAGATCTGGGACCCCTACAAGTGCGCCTCTCATGATGTCTTAAGTTTCCTTGGTTTGTTATCGTCAAAGTATTATGGGAAATTTCTCCTTTATACTTTATCATATCGCTGTAAGAGAAAGTATTGAAAGTATTGGATAAAATAAAACTTTCTTTAGAGGTTTTATGAAGAAATAATACTCAGATTAGTATTATCTCTGACTGTAGTATTATCCTAAGCATATTTATCTTACTGGTAATAAAGGCATCATATGTTTGAAAAGTATAATATAATTAATCAGTTCTCCTCCAGATAAGTTCAAAATACTGTGTTGCATAATTTTTATTCACTGATCATTGAAGGAAAGATTTTTTTATAAGAGTTTCTCGTCATCTTGTCCTTCAGAAAACGAGCGTCAGTGTTTACACGAGAGGCACATCTGGGGTTATGTCATATCCCTTGGTTATGTAGCATCCAAATGACTCTCTCACTCTCCATCTTATTTCAATTTCTCTTTCTGTATCAATAGAAAGTAACAGGAACTATACCGCGACTCGTCTCTTGGTCTGCATATCAATCACAGGTCGTGGTGCCTCTCCCTCCAGCATACTCTGCGTGTTTGCATGTGCAGAAAACACCGTGTCTGACTTGTTGCCTAAGCGTCCAACATACTAAGAGGGACTTCACCTCACACAACCAACTACTACTAATGCTGAGAACGTATCTGATTCTCAAAACGTGTAGCCAATAATTACTTCTTTACTCTGAGATGTTAGAACGCATATAACTGAGAGAGGATCAGTGAACTTTTGTACATTCAATATTTTCTTGACCGGTCATGTAAGAACGTATCTAACTGGTTTGCATAACTTACAACGCAATGATGCTAACCTACATATAATAATGGTTGTCCCTCGTGTAACGAGGATGGCTGGCCCAAGGGCCACCTAGGCGTGAATTTGTTTAAAGTCGCCAACACAACAACCACACCCTGAGTTAACGAGCTGCATGACCCAATGTCAAGGAATAGTCCGAAAAGACCGGACAACTCGCCAACTGCACTGGCTAACCATTGCCCCGGAACACGATCCGCAAATCGATTAACATCCAGGTTCCCAATTACTGCTGGGTAGACAGAGGCAAATGGCGTAAAGAAACTTGCCCATAGTTTCACCCTGCCCGGGGGATCGAGTCCGCTTGCTTTTGAGGCGAGGTTGCAGACCATTACACCACAGGTCGCCATAGCTAGCCTTTACAACATGGGGCACACAATAAGGCTCTCACGGCCCTCGTGGTCTGGAACTAGAGAACACCTCTGGCTGTAGTCAAGCCTCAGTGGAATTTCAAACCCATATTTATTAGCTAATATTTAATAACTTGGATTTTAATTATTTTTTCTTCCTTTTTTTTCTCTATTTTTTTACCTAACCTAACCAAACTCCTAAAGAAATAAACAATAACAAAAATATATCTTTAACTAATATCTACGATATAGAAATGTTTATTAATTTAATGTATAAAAAGAAACATTTAAGGATAATTACTGCACTAAAAAAAAGATTGATGAACTTAAGTGAAATGTTGTGGGTGAAGACCATAGATTTATACACTATTGAAGATAAACCTTTTACATTATCATTAGTTTATTCTTCATGACTTGTATAACTTTTCTTGGTGAAATATTTAGACATTTTTTTTTCTTGGTGGAAATAAAGACAATAATCTTCTTTGAGGTAGAATAACTTAGATTAGGGTAAGATTGAGGTGGGTTAGGTTAGGTTAGAATAGGATTGGATAGGATAGGATAGGATAGGATAGGATATTTTAACCCTTTGAGGACGATGGTTTAGCCCCCTGAAGACGATGGCTTAACCCTGTGAGGACGATGGCTTAAGCTACAAGGACTATGGTTTAACACTTAAGGTACGATGGATTAAACCTTTGATAGCGATAGTTTAGATGGTTTACACCTCTGGGAACGATGGCTTAGCTTTTTTGGGGGTGATGGCTTAATCCTTTGGAGACGAATACTTAACCCTGCCAGGATGATAATCTCTTAAGAGTGATGATTTAAACCTCTGAGAACAATAGATTAAATATTTCATCCCTTGAGAGTTAAAATTAAACCAGTTAATGCTATGACACCAAAACAAATAATCAGTCAGCAAGCACATTAGTCAGAATACATATACATTCATAATTATACAGTCCCCTTCACTAGTGCGTTTACAGGGGCTCGTCAGGTTTTGTACAGTGTGGCAGCGCTGTGTTTGCTTACATTCGACAGAAGGAAACTCGCAGTAGTAAACATAGTATCGAATCAAAGTAAAACAATATTAAAACAAATCTCTCAATGTATTGATTTGTGGAATGTTTATATGACAAGGCCCTGTAAACGCACTAGTGAAGGGGACTGTGCATAGTTACTTTCTGTACATTGTGATCTAATATAAACTGTTCCTAGGGGCTGCCAATTACCGTGTGTGTTATCTAGAGGGTGATTGTGTCTGTCTCATGCAGGTATTGGTTGTTGTTGAGGTAATTAGGTTAAGTTCACTTCCTGGTGCAGCAATTATCAGTGTGTGTGGGTTTCATATCTTAAAATAGTTTTTTCTATGGAACTCTATTTTCTCATCCATTTTCTGATAAATATCTACAACTAGTTTGTTGGTTCCTTTCAAACAACGTAATTTCACATAAGTTTTATTAACATGTTAAAAATTTTACATATAAAAAATATATAAGTACATACATGCACGTCACAGGAGTCGGTCGGTTGCCGTGTGTCTCGTGACTATGTCGGGTAAGAAGTGTGTACACCTCTTGATGGTAAACGGCTTCAGGTGTACACGCTCCCACCAGGTGTATAAGATGGAAGTGTAAAGTTTAATATACAAAATATGTACACGAGCAAACTGGGCTATTAAAGCGTCTCTTATATAGAGTTATCAGGTACGTCACAGTCCAGAGGTCGGTGAATGAAAGAGAGCATCACAGCTAACTCCAGGGCCAGCATAGAGGTCAATATTGTCAGTCTTTGAGGTCTGGGGGGCGTGTTTCCCTAGGATGGGTGGGGGGGGGGGGGCTGGTGTATCGTCCACGTTGGGTGAGGAGCTTTAACAAACTCTCAAAATAAAGGTCATTTGTCGTCAACATTTTTGTCCAAGTCGTTTAATGGACTGTGTTAAAGAGTCCCACTGAAGGGTCCAGCCCTGAGGGGACGAACAGATATAAAACAAATAAATATAAGATAAATTATACATGGTTGACGACGAGGCCAAGGGAGTGCCCTAGTGTCTCCTCCTACCAGGGTCAGGGTTGGCTGGCGGGAACTAGTCGTCGTACTTAGTGATGGCGTCGTAAACGAAGTTGGTGACACTTTGCATTAAAGGAGCGTCCATGAAAGAGCGAGCAGTGTTGATGTAGCCACTGTAGGAGTCGTAGTGATTCGAGCCCTGACGTCTGTAGGTGCCAGTACCGGTGTCTCCGTACAAACCCTTGATGTCTCCCTCGTTCTCCACCAGGTAGACTGTGGGAGATAGTCAGTATTAGGTAAAAGTTATATAAAAACAAACTGAGGTCAATCTGAACCTCATACAACTTATCAGTATAAAGAATCAAAGTTCTGAAAGTTATTGAGAAGATTCAACGTGATAGAACTTACCGATGAGCAGAGCGAGAGCGATGATGGCCAGAACAAAGTTAACAACATCGATAGCTTTGGCGCCGAGGTCCAGGAAGGACGTCTTGACTGCGGAGACGGCGGCCAGAGTGCTTCCCAGAGTAGTAATTTTATCCACGGTGAGGCCCCCCAAGGCACCAAGGCCACCGAGGCCAGTAAGGCCACCAAGGCCAGCTGTGCCACCTAAAGTAGTAATTTTATCGGGGGTTAGGCCACCCAGATCGATCAGTCCCAGGATGTTACCAAACTGCAGTAGGAGCGTGTCAAGAGGGTTGGCGGTGATAACCCCTGTGAGCTTGTCAGTAATAGCAGCGGTATCAACCGTTCTCTGTAACAACACAAATCATTTATAAATAAGCAGTATAAAAAAATTACCTCGTATTGGGTCTTTTAGTCCTATCCTAACCTAACCTAACCTGGCCTAATCTAACCTGGCCTAACCTAACCTAACCTGGTAACACAAGACAGTATTTCATGTGGGCGAAACTGTCATAACACCATCATTGTATTATTGATTCGCTGACGTCCTTCTCTCACAGTTAAAATGTACTACGTGTTACTTTTGGGAAGATGTACTACGTGTTACTTGTGGAAGATGCTGCTCCACCAGCGCGAGTCCGGCTTACTATTGCGAGATTCCTTGGGGCCATTCTGAGAGTTTCAATACGATGTAAATACCTGCCGCTTATCATACAGGTTAGGTTAGGTTAGATTAGAGTTGGTTAGTGATGAAGTGGCTAAAGTTAGGTTTGATTAGTAAGTTAGTTAAGGAGTAGTCAGGCTGACTTAGGATACGTTAGGTTAATTTAGGTATGGTATGGATTCAATAGACTAGCTTAGAATATGCTAAGTTGAATTATTTTATTTAAGGTTAGGTAAAATTAGGTCAGGTCTGGTCAGGAGGGTCACTGACCTGTCTACCCTCGTCGAGGTCCTGGTACTGTTGTGTGTTCTCGTCCTCCTGTGCTGTGGCCATCACCACCACGCCCACCAACACCACACCTAACAGTACCAACTTCATGTCTCTCTGCGGCCACAAGAACAACTTATTAAACACATAGACAATACAGTAAAGAAATATAAATAAGTTATAGGTAATAGTTACATCCATTCTAAGATAATAAACTTTTTTTTAATTTATCTATAAAGAGTGACTCGTGAAATATAAAAACACCCATACACAAAAAAAAAAGGAAACAGGACCTAAAAAAATAATTTTTAAATAAGTTACCTCAGACGTAAAAGAATTGTTCTCTTAATACCAAACACTTCTGCAGCCTTCCGGGACCAGCACACACACACACCACGCGCCTCACACTGACTGAGCTGAGAGCTGTCGGTGTTCCCCTTTATATACTTTCACCCCGTCCTCCGCCCTCGTGACCTCCTTTCTGAGTGAGACCATGTCCCACCCAGCCCATAGCGGGGGCCGCGCTCATGTGTAGGGGTGTGGGAGGGTGTGGGTTGATGGTGAGGTGGGGAGAGAGGGTAGAGGGGTGGGGAGGGGAGGTTGGGGAGAGGTGTAGGGGAGGAGGGGTGTAGGGGAGGAGGCGGGGAGAGGTGTAGGGGAGGAGGTGTAGGGGAGGAGGGGTGTAGGGGAGGGTGGGGAGGGAGTAGGTAGGGAGGAGGGTGGGAGAAGGAGAGGTGTAGGGGAGGAGGGGTGTAGGGGAGGAGGGGTGTAGGGGAGGTTGTGGAGAGGTGTAGGGGAGGGAGAGGATGTGGTGGAGGAGCTTTACAGATCAGTCTTCAACACCGTGATCACTTCAGCCATTCTAGAATATTACTTTATCCTTCTAAATCTTGTTTATTGTGGATTTGTGTTGGGTTTTTCTCTGTAACTTTAGACTGTTCTTAGGTATCTGTCTGTGGGAGTTAAGGGAGTCTGCGTCTCAAGAACTACACAATGAATCGATCAGTAAGACGTAAACAAACAGAATACATAAACTCTGTCGGCACTAGAGGGAGAGAGTGTAGGCTGGCAGGACAAGTGTCAGGCTTACTTACTTTTTTTTTTGGTAGCGTTCTCCGTGACGCTGGTTGACTGGCCTTGCTGAGGGGGAACTAAAGTGTAAGCTACACAAGAGGTACTTATATACCTTTTGGCTGTGATCGTCTGACCTGGTAAGACGAGTTGCCAGTTACTAACTTCCTTTATGAGTTTTATCGTCTCATCTCAACTCTGCTTGTTGTTGGGAGAGGACTGAGAGGATCGTAGTGGTAATTCACGCAAGGAAAGAGATGTTAGAAAATGGTGGTAAATAAAATGCTTGAGTGGTTGTAATTGGTGGTAAAGGAGAGAGGTGAGGCAGCTGGATCATGTCCCACACCCGCTCTGGCCCGCACCGCCCCAGCCAAACTTTTACTTGGCATCATCGGGGCAGGAATTCTCTCTTGACTTCTCCTTAACACAGTCTCCTAACGGCCATACATACGACCATACAAATAACCCAATAATCATATAAACATACGTATTTCTTATGTGAATGATGCATGATTCATTTCTTTCGTCTTAATGTTTATCCGAATGTCAACAAAAACCCGGAAATGACGTAATTGGTATAGAGTTAAGGAACTGAGCCGTTGACACCATTCCATTAACGGGTCACTTCAGGCAAACAAAGTCTTCGTATGTAAAACTGACGTCATTATTGAATCTTTTATTGTATTTTCATGAGTAACAAAAACATTTAGAAAAGATTTGTTATAGTTATTTATGGTAGAGATGAGAGAGCTGCTAATGATTAGTTAAATAGATCCCAGTGTGATTAGTTAAGTTAGGTTAAGATTTAAGCCTATTTTGATCTGTAACCGATGTTTTGGGTGTGTGTGGCTGTGAGAGAGTCAGGGTTTGTGTGTGTGAGGCGGGGTGGGTGTGTGTGTGTGTGAAGGAGGGAGGGAAGGAAGGAGGAAGTGGAGGAGCCAACAGTAGTTCTCTCAAGACCTGCCCGTAGTAGTAGTAGTAGTAGTTCTAGCAGGTCAAGCTCTTAATGAGTAAAGCAACAAATATGTGTGGAAGTAGAGCGTCGTGCACCGCGTATTGTTTTTGATGGAGTGTTTGACGTCTTCTTCCTTCTCTGATGTTACACCCTTCCTCCCTCTCTTCACCACACACTAACTATCATAAAGACTGACCTACCAACCAGCTCAGTGTGAGAGGGAACGGTGCGATTGACGGTGTTTGGTGGGGACATTGGCACCTCAGTTCACCTCACACCATAACCACCATCACCACCCGTGAGCTACTGACAGGCGGAAGTTTCACACACACACACACACACACACACGCGCGCGCACACACACAGGTTCATTGCTGACGTCGGCTGTTTTTTCACGAGAATATGTCCAACACCAAGACTCTGCGTGTTATTCCTTCACTTCAGTTCATTTCTCTCTCTTTTCGCTATTACACTACGTATTTAACCACCACCCACACCCCAAAACACCCAACTTTAGACTAAATCTTTTATGGTCACCACTAGCACCGGGTGTATATATATATATATATATATATATATATATATATATATATATATATGTATATTGTTAAACCAAAGTAGTCAGCTAAAGTCCAGCCCAAAGTGGTTATCATGTTAAATAAGCCAAACCAATATTAGTATAAATCGGAAAGAATTAGTGTTCCCCTCTTAAAAAGCAGACCATCCTCGTTAGGTTATTTTAAGAATTCATTTAAACCATTTCCTGCGGCTACCACAGCTCAGCCACGATAGACTCACAAACTGTGGGTCAGAATGTGTTTGCGCGCGTGTAGACTCACCTTCGGCAAAAAAGAAAAAAACGTGCAGTCAACTACACCTGAAAACTCCTACGTTAAGACAAGTGAAGCAGACATTAGACATCTCTCCCCTCTAGTGAGTGTACAGTAAGCAGTGTGTGGTATGGTTTTTGATCAGTTCGTAACTAAAAGTCTTCCCACAATGTAACTTCAATATGCCCCAGGACACAACACTTCACTAACTAAATTCCTCACTTTGGATAATTTTCAACCTGATTTCCACTATAGACACTGAACTCTAGTAAACGAGTTGATTAATATGGCAGCCAGACAGGCATAAGCCAGAAATTCATTCTTGTTCCAGGTCGCCGGGCACTTCAGTTAACCTAAATAAACAAGAACTTCTAACTCCATAACGCCCTTAGAAGCGAAGGCGTAGAGAGTGCAAAGTGCTGTCTTCGCTGTGACAGTGCACGCTACTAACATACAAAATACATACATACATATATAATAGCATACATACACACTTACACTTACAGAGGCTTCACACGCACACACATCGAGGCCAGCTCGAGATTAACCAACATCCTGAAGGAATTAAAAATGTGAAACATAGTAGCTGGCGGCCGTGTGGTGGCGGTGCTCAAGGCCGTGGTATAGGGAGGTGCTGACAATGTGTGGTGGTGGCAGGTGTCATGTTTTTGTGGTGGTGGTAGTGGTGTCAAGGGACCGTTTGTGGTGGTGGTAGTGGTGTCAAGGGGCCGTGTGTGGTGGTGGTAGTGGTGTCAAGGGACCGTTTGTGGTGGTAGTTTCATCAACACCAGTTCCTGTTATCACCAGACACCACCTCTTGACACCAACATCTGAAATACTTCCATTAACTTTTTGATTCTGACACTGAGTTCTTGGTTTGTGATTCTATGTGATGAATGAGGAAACAAAACAATAAAGAGAGAGAGAGAGAGAGAGAGAGAGAGAGAGAGAGAGAGAGAGAGAGAGAGAGAGAGAGAGAGAGAGAGAGAGACAATAAAAGATAATTAACGTGACACAGACAGATAAGGACATATCCAGAGCAATCCTCCCTTATTCTTATTACAACTTCACACTTCACCGCTACCACCAGAGGTCTTCACTGCTACCACCAGAGGTCTTCACTGCTACCACCAGAGGTCTTCACTGCTACCACCAGAGGTCTTCACTGCTACCACCAGAGGTCTTCACTGCTACCACCAGAGGTCTTCACTGCTACCACCAGAGGTCTTCACGGCTACCACCCGGGAGGTCTTCACGCTACCACCAGGAGGCCTCACTGCACACCCAGAGGGGTCTTCACTGCCAACATCACCAGAGGCCTCACTCATAACACCAGAGTCTCACTGCTACCACCAGAGGTCTCACTGCTACCACCAGGAGGGTCTACCAAGCAAAATGCACCAGAGGTCTTCACTGCTACCACAAGGTCTAGAGTATTCCCACTGCCACTGCACCAGAGGTCTTCACTGCCACCACCAGAGAGGTCTTCACGGCTGGGAGTCTTGACAGTCTTCAGCCCGTCTCTGATGTCTGGGAGGCCTTTTTTCTTGATCGCTGGTGTTGTTTGTGTTGATGGGACTATTTGGAAAGATATTGCATTGATTTTCTTTTAAGCACATACCTTAGTGTGTGTGTGTGTGTGTGTGTGTGTGTGTGTGTGTGTGTGTGTGTGTGTGTGTGTGTGTGTGTGTGTTATACAGATTATAAGCTATGACAACCAGCATCCTCATCCACCACCACTACCACCTCCTCTCCTTCACCACTATCACCACCACCACTGTCACCATCATCATCATCCTACCTCGACCAACACCCGTTCCTCCAACCAAAGGATCCCTATTGTAATGAACCTACTCTCTCTCTCTCTCTCTCTCTCTCTCTCTCTCTCTCTCTCTCTCTCTCTCTCTCTCTCTCGTGGTTAAGTTAGATTTTTTCTATCCCTCTAAGCACCCTCAAATTTCCCCTTGTTCCATCTTATCAACTGCTTCCTGCTTCTCTTCCGCCTTTCTTTATCGCGTTCTTCGTCGCTTGCTTCCTCTCCTTTACTACCTTCTATCACCTCATCTTTCTTGCCTTTCTCTCTTTATACGAAATTATCATCACATTTTCCTTTTTTTCTAATTTGTTTCGTTTTATTAATTGCATTGTTCTTCTTCTCCCTCTTCCAGATTTATCATTGTCCCTCCCTTTATGATGTTAGATACTCCACCAACCAGACACTCCACCAACCAGACACTCCACCAACCAGACACTCCACCAACCATAAACTCCACCAGCCTTCCCCAACAACTCCCACATCACCACCTGTAACTTTATGGTCTCAAGGTCTTACAAATTTCAGGTAGTAATATGAGTCAGGCACTTGGCTTCCTCTGGTGTAAACGTCTATCTGTCCCTGGTAATAAACTCCGATAAGGTGCTTCTGACTAACGTGGAACGGCTCCCTTGTCATGGCTCACGAGGTAAAGACCGGGAAGGTGAGAAAACAGAGAGTATAAGGTGATTAAAGTTTTATATTGACTCAGTGGTGTTAGTTAGGGGGATAATGTGGGTCCCGTCTTGTTTCTCGTGTTTATATTTGTAATGTTATGTAGTGTAATGATAGTTTCTTTGTGTTTTATGGTCGTGTATATATTTGGCTATTAGGTTAGTGGTGGGCTGGGTAAGGTAGTGGTGGGCTGGGTAAGGTAGTGGTGGGTTGGGGGGGGTAGTGGTGGGTTGGGGGGGGGTAATGGTGTGCGTGTGTGCAGGTGTGGGTGACGCTAAAGATGGTCTCTGGTTTATCCTAGTGACCCCATTAACTAAGGTGGGGAGGACGAGTTACTCCCTTCCTAGAGAGAGAGAGAGAGAGAGAGAGAGAGAGAGAGAGTCTTCCTAAAAAAAATTCTATCACAGTTTGGTCTCCTATAACGGGGTTTTATTTAAGCTAGAAAGTTTATTGTTAAAATTATTTAATTTCCTGGATGTTATATTAAATTAACCGGTCAGGTACGCTCTTATTGATCCAGTTACGAGGAATATTTTTCACACTTAACTCTTGAAAGTCTTGACCCGGATAACATGTATTCATCCTAGAGTTAATTTTTTTATAAAACTTGATTTGTCTTGTTTTATTTATATTGTTATTTATTATATGTCTGTAATTTATTGTTTGTTTAGGATTGTATTTGTTTATTGTCTCGTTGCTGTTTTATTTTTAGTTGTATTATGTATAAATTTATTGATTTATATATATCTATTTTTCTTATTTTTTATCAATTTATTAAAGTTATGAGACCATGAGCTACAGGTACTTGTGGACGCTGTAACAGACACACAACGAAATAATGTTCATTGTGTTAAGATGTAGACAGCGTTAGTGGCCGCTGTGTGTGTGTCCAGGCTTACAAGCAAGGTTGAAGATACTGTCACCTCATTAAGCTATTGTCTTGCTCTGGAGTTACCTGATGCTTTAACAGGTACTGGAAGGAACTTGATTCTTCTTCAGATTATATTAAAACCACAAACCTTTTCTTCAATAGTATAATGACTTCCTCCTTACCAGAGAAAATTACATTATTTTTACCAAGATTGTTACACTAACACAAAGGCTACAGGTGAAATGACGGCTTCCTACTGGCTAAGGTCTTGTGTGTGTGTGTGTGTGTGTGTGTGTGTGTGAGGGGGGTGTCACAACAGAGGTGCACAAAGACGTGATGTGTATCTCCGCTCTAGTTTTTCTTCTTGGTATTCTTTCCTAACCTTCGTTGTACACACACACACACACACGATAATAAATATAAGCGTACATATAAAACGTCATTCACCTTTTTCCTTGACCGTACCACCGCCGCCATCAGCTGAGGTTGACAAAGAATGAGGCCAACTGGTCACCATTCGCGCCTCGAGGCCTCAACCCAGTGTAGTGTTAAAAGTCTGAGGAGGGGGAGCAGGGGGAGCAGTGGCGGTAGGGGGAGCAGTGGGAGTAGGGGGAGCAGTGGCGGTAGGGGGGTGGGGAGTGGTGGTTGTGGTAAAGGTAGTGGTAGTTTAGTGACGGAGGTATAGGTGGATAGTATATTGGGTTAGTGGCGGAGGGTAGTGGTAGAGGTAGTGGCGGAGGGTAGTGGTGGGTGTGAGTGAAGAGGCTTTATCTTTCATAAAATAGTCTGACAGGAGGCAAAATTCTCCTGTTGTCTTGTTGATGTTTGAGTCTTGCCTCCACTTATGGGCTGTGTATGGTTCAGGTAGTCTCAAACACCACTCAGTATGTGGATGATGATATGAATCTCTCTCTCTCTCTCTCTCTCTCTGTTAATATGTATATAATATGCCATAGGGGTCAATATATACATTCATACATACAGTACACAGAAATGACTAGTTACTATTTTAATTCTCTTTCTTCCTTGGGTTACAGGCATTAATACAAAAGAAAAAATACAATATAAATCTTACATGTATTTATTACGTGAATAATACATAATACAAAAATAAATAACTTAAATAAATAACACAGTCCATTTAAATACAGTCACATATAATATACATTTTAAATACAGTCGTGGTCTCATAGAAATCGTCTAAAATATAAACTGTCTACAAACACACAACAGTTAGAGGCCGGTAAAGCGGTCTCTTCCCCTCACCCCTCTCTAAAAAAAAAATCCTCTGTCGGGTGATATCCTATTGTCGGTAAGGTCAGGGAGTACAAGGTCACGGTATCCTTCCTTCCCATACTGAAGCCGGAGTGAAGGAAGGAAGGAATCGTCCAGAGAGCTGTAGGATGTCTTTGTGAAGGTCAGGTCACTTGGGGGAGAGGGGGGGGGGTCAGTACGGTACTTGTCTTATAATAAAAGTGGAACGTCTAATGATGTCTTTAAAGTCTGAAGATGTCTGAAAGATTGTGTCTAATAAAAGAAGTCTAAAAGTGAGGCGTCTAAAATATGTCTGGTGACTGTGGTGTCTAAATGTCTAAACTGTAATGTCTAAAAAGTCTGAAGTCTCACAAAGTCTTCGGTCTTTCCTAGGTGGTGAAAATCGTCAATAAAAGTTTAATAAGTCTGGGTGATTATTCTCGTCTGTGGTGGGTAAAAAAAGACTTAGGGCGGTAAATCGTCTGCCGGGAAATTCATAATAAGTTTTAGGTCGTCATCAAGAGATCATCGTCCTATGTACAAGTCGTCGTCATCGTCACACGTCTTACAGTAAGTCTTAAGGTACAGAGTCAGTCATCGTCTCCACACGTCACCTTATACGTAAGGTCTTATTTGTCGGTATGTCTAAAAGTGAGTTGTCGAAAGTCTAATTCTCGTCTAAAGTCTAATTCTCGTCTAAAGTCTAAATGGTTCTCTGAGTCTAAAACAACTCGGAAATAAGTCTCGTTGTTAGTGAAAGAACCAAAAATATGTCGTCATGGCTAAAGATTATTAAAGTTTTGTCGTATAAGAAAACAAAAGATTAACGCCTAAGGAAGAAAGTTGATCCCGGCGTCTTGAGAGAGATCGATCGTCATGGTAGAGGTCAGCGAGTTGGATGATTATTTGGTATGAGTTTGATGAGTTTATGGTCTTTTGTACAAGTCCGGGGAGAGTCTCTGACGACGGGAGGTGAACAGAGTCCCCCCGTCACCTACCATTTGTAACACTTTGCTCTTCTCTAGTAGACAGACAGGGTCAGAAATACTGGCATTAAAGTAAAACTAAACCATCTATTATATCCTGACTGGAATCACAGTATATATTGACACTGACTAACAGGAGTCTGATAGTCAGTGTACCGATTATTATAAAGCTTTGAAGACTGACTGATCCAAGGAGGTAAAACGAAAAAAGAAAGCAAAAACAGTTTGCGGTTACATGATGAAGTCAAAGAATTCCGCCGTCGGATATGCCCGCGGGTTGAGAAAGGTCAAGAGTCTAAGTTGACGCGTTGAGCAGTAATTGTTCCGAGTCTGGGTCAAACCTGTTGTTGTGTTTTGTCTCGATCCAATCGTCTTGGAGTGCGTGCGTGTGTCTTGTCTAATGTCTGCACAGTGTAATCTAAACAAACATTAGTGGGTTATCAACATTATAAGGTAGTGCTACACATGTATATTATGGATACGAGGGGAGGAATCGAACCAGCGATCCTTAACCTCGGCTTGCGACCAACCAACAAAAATTAACAGATAGGCAAGGCACAATTGTACGACATTTATAGACCCAGGTCTCTTGGAGGAGAGGTTAGGACACGGGAGAAGGACTTGAGGAAGTGCCTCCAGCAAGTCCTACTTTAACCCCATCCAACATACTTAGTACTTGAAGTTGTCGATAGCATTGTGGACGCGCTCTGTGAGTCGCTGGACGATGGGGAGGTCCATGAAGGATGGAGTGTCGACGGATCTCTTCTGGTAGCCGGTGTAGCTGCTGCCGCCGTCACCGCCGCTGGTCTCGTAGCCGCCAGCAGGGAACGAATAGTACTCGTAGTCCGGACTGCTACTACCACCGAAGACATCCCCGGTGGACTTCTTCAGGGTAACTGAGGAAGAGAAAAATAAAGGTGATTAGCTGTAACTTGGTCCATTGCAACTGTCGCAGTTTTCCATGGTGAGGCGTAACCTGTGTCAAGGAGTAGCCCAGGAAGATCGGACACCTCGTTAACCGCACTAGCTAACCATTATACCTCAGAATTTGATCCACCAATTGACTGATATCCAGGTCCCAATTGCCAATAAGTGAAAAGAAATGTTCCCATATCTTCACCCTGTCTGGGGATCCAACACAGAATACGCACTTGTATGGTGAGTATACTGACCAATATAACACAGGCCGCCATATATAAATGAGTTGAAAACAAAAAATTCTCTTTATGCACAAAATTGATTTAAGATCATTACTTGTGATGTCATTGAAGTTCCCGGGAAGTTCTGAGTCCACGATGAAACTCCCTCAAGACCACATAACATCTCGGTACAAACTAGAGAGAATACTTTACACACCAACAACAAAGACCTGGCACTCACCGATAAGCAGGACGAGGGCGATGAGGACAACAATCCCGGCGGAGATTTCTATGATACTCCCCAGAGGTCCGAAGAGTGTGGTCTTCACCAGCTTGACGGTGTTGAGAGTATTGATGACCTCTGTGTGGGGGAGGTGAGGAGGAAGGGCTAATGGTTGTGTGTGTTTTAGATGTATTATGAAGTTCGCATACGAACACAGTAACTGAAGTTCCCACACAATATCTAACACAGTAAGTGAAGTTCCCACACAATATCTGACACAGTAAGTAAAGTTCCCACACAATATCTGACACAGTAAGTAAAGTTCCCACACAATATCTGACACAGTAAGTGAAGTTCCCACACAATATCTGACACAGTAAGTGAAGTTCCCACACAATATCTGACACAGTAAGTGAAGCTCCCACACAATATCTGACACAGTAAGTGAAGTTCCCACACAATATCTGACACAGTAAGTGAAGTTCCCACACAATATCTAACACAGTAAATGAAGTCACACAATACGTTACCAGCAGTCCTTGGCTCCTCCTGGTGCTCCTCCTCGGCCAGGGCGGCGCCCACCACCAGCACCAACAGTAACAACGTTCTCTTCATCTTCCCAGCGAGAACCAGAGATCAGCGGACTAAGGCACCGGGATGTGTCTACTGCTGGGGACAGGAAGGCGGGGCTGTGTGAGAGAGGGGTGTACGGTTCACGGTCACGAGTTCATTACAACACTAACTGTCGAAAGCCAAATGAACCCAAAGTTCTAATAAAACTGGACCTAACTTAACCTAAACCATGAACACTGAGACCCATTAGAACTGGGACCTCTTAGGGCCGGGGCTCAATAAGACTGGGGCCAATTAAGACTGGGACCTCTTAGGATTGGGACCATTAGGACTGGTTCTAATGGTTAGGTTAGGTTAGTTAACGTGGGAGTTTATCATGACTGGGAGCTTATATCAACACTTCAATATACTAACATAAACAACCTGACTGATATCCTTAAAATTATCTTCCAGACAAACAACAGAAGGACCAAACACACTCGAGTTTTGGTTTAACATGACTACGTTACCAAACTATCAGTGATTGAGACTAAAAAAAAGATAAAAATATTAATGTTAATGATGACAATAATAATGATTATGTATCAAGTCAACTTGTTGCCAAAATATACAACTCCACTTAGACTAAACTTTTAGTAGACTTTAGTCACCAATTCGCTAAATAAACAATAAAAATGGTCTATACATATTGAGCTGGGATAATGGTATACCAAACGTAGATAATATCCCCCAGGACTCTTCTCTCAGGCTCGACTGGTATAGACTCACGTGTGTACACAAGGAGATGTGTTCCGCACCGTGGCTCAGGACCAAGTGTTTGACTCTTGCAGCGCCCAGCGTATACATGGAGGGGTTTATATAGTCTTGCTCGGGTCACTCACACCCAGTACACCTGACCTGTAAACCCAGATGGTGATCCACGCCCACCCACATCATCTCTTCACGCCCATACAACACGTTACACTACTGTATTAAAACGTATATTAAGAGTAAACCTTCATTGGTCTGTGTACAGGCATATAACATAGACATTTAGTGACATAATAAGGCGATTAACGTTGATGATCTGTAGCACCTGCGCGATGTATTGTGAAAATGTGTTTCAGAAAGTGAAAATATCCGACGATCATATGTGCAGCGCCGGGTGACGCAGGCGACTATTGTCTCGTGTCAGTAGTCGTGAAGCTGGTATCTTGGGTTAGGTGTACATAATCTGCTTTATTACTAGATGTTATATGAACCTTCATTCAATGGTACACTGAATTTTCTAGGAATTTCTACAAAAAAATCATGAAGATAATGGCATCCATGAACGTCTGGCGAGCGTTGCCAGAGAGACTCGCCAGCCAATCCGAACATACTTCCCGTAGAGGTTCCAACTGTTCTGATAATCACAATTAGAGAACAAATTATTCATATACCATTAATTATTTCTACACGAGAGAGTAATTTAGGTTTGCATTGCACTCGTTAGCAGCTTAAGAACTGGAGTACGACAGAGTATTTACCTGGAAGAGAAATGTTGGTGGCGGCGGCTGGCATCAGTTGTACTACCGGGACAGACGACCTACGAGGAGGCGTAGGGTTAACGTATATGATCTTGGAGGGAGAAAGTCTGAAAAAATACTTGACCTAGTCTGTTGTAGAAGACGGAACCTCGGAGCTGTCTATTGGCTCCCTGATCCGTGGGAACTTAGGATATAATAAGATATTACGGGAACCGTTAACACACGCAGATATCATCATCATCATCATCGTCTTCGTAGTCATCATTATCATCGTCATCATTATCATCGTCATCATCATCGTCATCAATACGCGAAAAGGGATTTAGAGTGCGCACATAGTTAGTGTAGTAAACACTCGTCTTCTTAAGTCTCCAGCTATTAAGGTCACGAAGGAATGAATCAGAGGCTGGAATTTGGCACTGGGAGGATTAGACCAGCCAGAGGGGCGGGATCATCACAGGTGCCCGCACACAATGTTCCTCTAACTGAAGATTTAAGAATGTGTTTACCAGACTCCCTTAAGCTTTAACTCGAGGATGGTTGAGTGAACAACGCACCGACACCCTGCTGTACCTTTAGATAAAGGTAAATAATTATCATGTGAGTCGTCGTCAGCCCGGACACAAGTCCCGTTTTGGTCGGCAATATTGGGCGCGTCCTTGTGAACAGTTACTCTAGCTGCTGTGTTGCTCATCTCTCTTGTTTTCTTACGATGACGTTAAGTGACGCAACACTATCGACCCATTTGTCTTATAAATCATTTGACTATTTTGCAATAGAGGAAGCTGTTACAGCAAGTGACTGCAGCAGCAGCAGCAGTAGTGGCCTCATGGTCTTGATGGTCGTCATGATAAAGACTGGAGAAGTTTACGCTCTACCATAATGATATGTAAGTTGTTCAGAGTGTAGACTGAAGCTAATGAACAAGAATATAACTATTTTATTTACGTTCATTAAGTAGAGGACTTATACGACTCAGTCCGTCTCGTCTAGTGTGTTATGAACGTCTTGTGGCACCAGAGAACTGAAGACGTTGCTAGTGTTACAGTCTAACAGTACAAAGAGAACTAAGCCTCACGTTATTAATGAGTAAAGTCCGAGAGAAAACATCGAGTAGCACAAGAACCTGAACTAGGTGGGCGGATGGGTGGGTGGGTGTGGGTGGGTTTGGTAGGTGGGCTGGTGGGTGGTTGTAAAAAAATAAGTGGTGTTTTTTGTGTGTTTTAAATGTGCGGTTTAAGTCTGGGTTCAATGTACATGTTTTAGTTCTGTCTTTCATATTTGTATTTTTAATTCTATTTTCATTTAAGAGTTCCATGTATATTTTTTTTATGTGGATATAAAGTCTGTGTTTGAAGTTAATAATTTAAGTGCATCATTAGTTTGTATCGTAAGATTATAAGTGTATTTTAAATCTGTACTTTTATGCAATTAAAGTCAGAATATCAAGTCCATTTAGAGTGTTTTATGTCCCTCTTTCAAAAGTTTACGTGTCAAGTATGCACTCTTAAGTCTGCATTATAAGTGTGGGGGGTGGCGGGAGGGAGACTCGAGGGAGGGAGGGAGTGGGTAGGTAGGTAGGTAGGTTAGGTAGAGCTAACTGGGTCACCCTCGCTATGGAACCCGTGTAGGGAAGGAGGGAGAGGAGGCGCTTACCCTGCCAGCCAACACAACTTGATCCAGGGAGTTTCTCCAGCTCTCTCTCTCTCTCTCTCTCTCTCTCTCTCTCTGTGTATAAAATGCTTACACACACACACACATGAGAGAGAGGAACCCTTAATATTACTCTTCAGTCATGTAAGACGTAAACTACACAGGATAATTTAAAGCAACACAAATATTTATCTACATATCCCTACTTTCTTATGTATCTAGTCCTCTCTTATTGTTAAACTACGTGGCGATGATAACGATGGATTGTATGTAGATGAGAGAGAGAGAGAGAGAGAGAGAGGATGGCTTGTACGTAGGCTATCAATACGAGGTACCTGCAGGTTGGTAGGCAATAGGGAGATGTGTAGGGTATGTTGACCTATTGAGATCCGTCTTCCTCTTCCTCCTTTCTCTTCTTCTCCCTTCTTCTCCCTTTTTCCTCCTTCCCCCTCCTCCCTTTTCCTCCTCCTCCATTCCGTTTTCCCAACATCTTCTTTCTCTCTTCCTCCTCTTTTCCTTTCTTCCACCAATACGTCTTCCTTCCTCTTTCTCCACCTTTCCTCTTCTTGTTTCCACCAGCTTTTACATACTCGCCTCCTTCCTCCTCCTCCTCCTCCTCCTCCTCCTCCTCCTCCCTCCTCCTCCTCCTCCTCCTCCTCCTCCTCATATTATCTTACCCTTTTCCGCCTCTTAGTATTGTTTCATTCAGGTGGCAGCATAACCTCCCTCCCACTTGGTCAGTCAGACACTAGGGGCCGCTGTAGCTCAGAGGTTGGAAGTCCAGCACCGGGAAGTACAGGCAGGTCAGGTAGGAGGTGTTTTACGGGAAAGGCCTGGTGCTTAAATTGGCCCCATTCCCAAGAGGCCCCATTCCTAAGAGGCCCCATTCCTAAGAGGCCCCATTCCCAAGAGGCCCCATTCCCAAGAGGCCCCATTCCTAAGAGGCCCCATTCCTAATATTTTCCATCCCTAATGTTTTCCATTCCTAATAGATTCCATTCCTAAGAGACCCCATTCATAATAGACTCCATCCCTAATGTTTTCCATTCCTAAGAGACCCCATTCCTAATAGATTCCATTCCTCAGAGATTCAATTCCTAATAGACTCTGATCCTAAGGCCCTCTTCCAACCGTTCCTCAAATAAATATTGGACCCCATTCCTATTAGGCTTCAGTCCTAATAAGTCCCATTCCCACTGGGCCTTAACTCTAATAGGGTTCCTACTAGGGTCTAATATTACTAATTAGTATACCTCTAGTACCAGGTAATATGTTGAATATGTTGTATGTAGTTTTATGTCGTTGTATGCTGAATATGATGATGTACAGTATGTTGAATGTGCTTTATGTTGCTGTATGTTCATGTATGTATATTGTATGTTGAATCAATATGCTTGGTATGTTGATTATGAGGGATGTAAAGTATGTTGATGAAATACTCTGCTGAACACACACACACACACGACAATAATTCACGAGAAATAAGATAGAGTTTGTATATTTGCAAGGATTTTAAGTGGTTGTAGGTAGAATAGGCCCCAGTCTTATTAGGCCCCAGTCGTAATAGGCCCCAGACTAACCTACGGATACCATAATTAGTATAATCTCACAATACATTAGAACTTAAGGTCCTTTTAGGATATCTCTCGACTCACGGTTCAAAACTCTACGGAATTTACACGTCACCGTTCTCTAACAATTTATAGTTTTCTGTTACTTATTGAGGGGAAACTAATGTGTTTCTAGGTAACCTCCCCACGCCGTCGCAGATTGGTTATTGTTAAAGAAAAGAAGAATAGTATGATCGGTAGAACTTTTGTAATTCTTAAACGTGGAAGATATGAACTAAAGAAGTCTAATCTAATGGACTCAAAACTCACCGTGATTGTTAGATTAAGTTTAGACAGGTTAGGTTAGGTTAGGTCGTCTTTTGGTAGACACCGCGTCAGGATTAAATTATGTGTATTAGAGTTAAGTATCGATATTAGTGATTGAGTGGACCTTTATTGAGTGTGTCCCTCGAAAACTAGTCTATACAATTGATTATTTATAGTTTATAATGGTAACTATATTTTATCATTTTCCACATTGATCGGCTTGTTACGCACTGTTGGCAAGCACTGAGCATGCACAGGTTCCAGAATGTATCTGAACCTGCTCCAGTGTTGGTCAAGTCTGGTCTTGAATGAGCTCACACTCTAGTTCCAGGTTTAACACTCTGAGTTATTAGTAGACTTCTTTTAAGTAGCTCCTTACCCGCCTATAGTATAAGCTAGGCAACTGCAGGCGTTCTTATCTCTCTGGGTACCTGAGGTGTCGTAGTGCAGGCATCAGTCTGGTGGCCCTCCTCTGGACGTTTTCAATCAACTGATAATCTAGTGCATATCTCGGGGACCAGACGGGGTGACAGCACTCCAGACGAGGAAGCACCTCACTTTTCAGAAGCGTTTTGAGCGTCTGGGTATGTGAATGACCTTCTTATGAGACCTACTAGCTTTTTTGCTTGATTAATTTCTTCTTACAATGGCCCGAGAACTTCAGTTTGTTGTCAATATACACAACCAGGTCATTTTCACATTTGATCTTAGTTAATGATGTTTCCTCGTCACGTTGGGACATGGAAAAGGACACTTATCACATGTCCCAACGTCACTAGGAAACATCATTAACTAAGATCAAATGTGAAAATGAC